TTGTCGATCGATTCACGTCTTCATTTTTCGATCCATTCATGTCGATCGAATCGACAAGGGTGTTTTTAAATTAGCTGTCGATCGAATCGGTGTCGATCGATTCATGTCGATCGAATCACGTTTTAATTTTTCGATCGATTCATGTCGATGGAATCGACACCGGCTTTTTAACAACTTGTCGATCGAATCGGAGTCGATTGATTCATGTCGATCGGTTCACGTTTTCATTTTTCGATCGATTCATGTCGATCGAATCCATACCCTCCGTTAAATAAGAAGCAATTTTGAGAATTTTGATCACACGGAAAAATGATTGACTGCGTTTTTATTTTTATCTCGAATAACAAATTAGTTTTGCTCTCTGTGTTAATTCTTTGCTTTCATTTTTTTCAGATTAGTATGAAACGAACACAGTAAAAGCTATTCCACCTTGTTTCATTTAGTGGTTTTTTTTGCTTTTTTGTTTTTTTTTGTGTATACCTTAAACTATTTTTCTTCTTTTTGCATGGTTTCAGACTGGTAGGAAATGAACACATTGAAAACTGTTCAACTTAGTTTCATTTTGCGTTTTCCATTCCGTAGGCCTTAAACTAATTTTCTTTCACTTATCTTTTTTTTTTCAGATCGGCAAGAAACGAACACAGTGAAAGCTCGTATTAATTCATTCCATTTTGTTGTTATTGTTTTATTTCAGACTTTTGCTTCATACTATTTTTTTTCTTCAACTAGTCCTCCATTCATCTTTGATTAATATTCCCCTCCACTCCATTTGCAGTTGAATTGCATTTTATAATATTGGGAACTACCAATTGGACGTATTACCGCCGAACGGAACTATGTGCATTATGACTTGAGCCCTATCATGTATATATTTTTAGAAGTCTCAGGGCTCATGTCTTAATGCATATAGTTCCGTTTGGCAGAAATACGTCCAATTCCGACTCGACGACAAAAGCACCTACCTGCATAGAGAAACTAATGAAACATAAGTTATTTCTAAAATGCAAAAGAATGTTCTTTATTGAAAAATGTAATCCAATTGCAGGAATCAAAAAGTTGCATTTTGATTATTGAATTGCACATTAATTCTTTTTAGTGTTGTAAATATTAACATAGATTTTGGCATATTTTATTAGGAAATACCAAGACATTTTTAGTCACTCTTCAATTTAAAATCACTTTAAATTGACTAATTAGTTGCTCATGGAACAAATGACGGAAAAAAAGACAAAAGTAAAAATTAGCTACATTTCAAACCGAATAAGTACGTAATTTTGCATTTGCATAATAGAGGTTATCAGTCTTATCAAATTGATTTTACATGAAAAAAACTACTTTTCCACTATTTATTTTTAAGTTAGGTTAAGCTCCAACTAATTATTCTTTTTTTTATTTCTTAGTTTGTTTCAGGTCTGCAAAAAACGAAGAAAATGCTCCGCATGATGAGCATTGAAGACGGAAGTATTGCCCTCCAAAATGTGTACCTATTTGTCCTATCGTATACTAACTTGAAAGCCCTCAGTTGTGGAAAGAGATTTGAAAAGTATTTGCCAAATCCTTTTAGTTCTGCATAGTTCTCGTAAGATACTATCGAACAATACTGTATTCATCTGTAAGTAATTGGACTGAATTATGCAAAAGGAGTTATCTTTTTCGGTTCATTGTAGAAAAGACATAAATGCCATACATTTTCCTAAATGAGCTGTAAAAGATAGTCTCTTTTCGCGCAATACAGTTCAGTTACTCTACAGCTGAATGCAAACTTGTAATCAATGAGAAAAACAAATCCATAACGAAACAAACGTGGCCCGGACTGTGCGTAAATATTGCTGCGTTCCCACAATTTTGCGGGGAAAACAAGGCCGAAAAGTTATAAAAATCATAAATTCTTTTGGGCCTTGTTTTCCCAGCAAAATAGTGAGGACCCAGCTCTATATTGTTACCCTTTTGCAATTAACGCTGCATGATATTGCTATGCATTACGGAACTGCAATTTGAAGTTGAAAAAATAATACCTAAAATTTGGATAAATTTTGGCATGGTCCCTTGGTTAAAATTTGGACAAGAGATAAATGGTCGTATGCACGTTAAAAGGAAGTATGTTGCATGCAAATGCCGTGCAAAATAGTTCCTTTTAGCATGAATAAGTCCAGCTTAATAATGGATTATAATTGAACAGAACTTTAATGTGTGGATGAGGGATTAAGTAGAAATGTAGAAGCCAGGTTCTTCTTTTGTTGCTAATCATACTAATAATTCTTGATTTTCCTTGTTTGTTTCAGATGCGGCTGAAGAAACGGGCTTTGGGGGGAGGTATCGCTGAGGGGGGAGGTTCCCGGGGAAGGGGGGTTCGTAGGGTTGGGAAGTATCGCGGAGTAAGGATTCCCAGGGGGGAGAGTCCCGGGGAAAGGGGGGT